AGCAGCGAGTGAAACGAAGCAAAAGAAAGGCAGAACGAAACGAAGGAGGTACAGGCTACAGCAGCAGACTCGTTTGGCTTGGTCGTTGGTGTCGGGCCACGCCGCTCGCTCATCCCGGAGGGGTAGCTTCAAACGAAAACTCCGCGGCGCGTCCAACGAGTTTGTATCGAGCGTAGAAGTCGAGTAAAAGCGCGAGAGGCTGCAGAGGGTCGAACGTACGTACGAACGAACGAACGAACGTAGCGACGAGTACGCGAGGTGGAGGTGGAGGAGGTGGTAGATGCTAGAAAACCGTGAGCACACACAGTGCAGAAGGGGACACAGCATTGGCAAAACGGAGGAGAAAGACAGAAGGGAAAGTAGAGTTAGTCGGTACGAGAAGAGCGAGAGGGAGAGAGAGAGAAGGGAAAAAGATAGAAAGAGAGTCCAGGAGAAACGAGAGGAGATCCTCTCTCGTAGCCCGATGCTGCCGCTGCTGCAGAACGAGCCTGGGACGAGGGAAACGAGGGACTCTGGCGAAGGGAGGGGAAACTGCCGCAGACCGAGGCCATGGTAGGCGAGGTGAGGTGGCAATCAATAAATATACAGAGAACCGGCAGAGAGAGAGAGAGTTAGTGTACGAGGCAGAGAGCGAGAGAGTTGCAGAGAGATCGAGGTAGGAGAGGAGAGAGAGAGAGGCGGAGAGAGAAAGAGAAAAAGATAGGGGAAAGGGGGTGAGAGAGTCAGAGAGAGGGGTGGAGAGAGAGAAGCGCTCGTCGCGTCTGTCCGACCGTCGGTCCGTTCTTGCGTCCCCAAAGCCCCCACGAATCTAACCGACGCTGCTCTGCCTCGCTTAGACAGAGAGAGATGGAGAAAGAAAACGGGACAGGGATAGGATGGAACGAAACGGGAGTGAAAGAGACCGTTTGGATCCGGGCTAGAGAGGAAGGAGAGGAGAGGAGGAGAGTATACGGGACTCTACGAAGGCTCTGGAGAGAGGCTTTACTTGAAAAGACAGGAGCAACCGGCTGCTGCTGCTACAGGAAGAGAGAGAACGAGGCAGGGAGAGACGTAGAGCACGAGGAGAGGAAATGCACACAGGGATGCAAGAGAAGTCCAGAAAACGCGAGGAGGGACCGTGGAGAGAGGTCGGGTCGCGGAGGTGAGCCAACGAAATAAACGAAATCCCATCCATGACTACTACGATGGAACAGTTCTACTCTCTGCGAGGAGGAGAACCGACGATTCTCCTCTGTTAACCCCCTCTGTCACTCCCTCTCTCTCTTCCATGTCGGAGTTTCTTTTCAATCGTTCGAATGCGTCCGTTGCTTCGTTAGAATCTTTGGTTACCACATTTTTGTCTTCTCTTCTTTCTCTTTCTCTACCTAGAGAGGTCTAATTGACACGGAAGACCTAGGGTATCGTGAACTCTTGAAATCTTCACCGGTTGCTCGTCTATTATTAGGTGGTACCGCGGATCTATGGTTAACGTGGATCGGAGAAGCGATCTTGATAACGGTATCAGAGTGACTGTAATTCGTATCGCGATGCCGATTCGATAATTAACGTATCCATCGTGGTGGAGATGTGCATTGGGAACTGTTCGAAAGATCGATTCGATCGGGAGTAATGGAAGCCTCGAGAGGAAAATAGGCGAAGGGAAAAAGGTTTTTATTGATTGGCTGGCCGTACGAAAAGTCGCCAAGCCCGTTCTTCCCGCTTACCGGAGGGCTGCTGGGGTATCCATCAGTGCCCGGTTTCCGGTCAGAGAGCTCTTCCCGAGACTTTTCTTTCCACGCTAAGAAGCTTCGCTTCGAGCGGCGTATAACTTTTCCAAGAGAAGTGACGCGGGAAACAGTGACTGCAAATAGACATTTCGAGTAACGAGATTCGGTAAAGTGTGCTATTGAGTGTATACACGTAGTAGAGCTGCTGGCTCGCAATAATTTTCCCCATGACCCCAAGCGGCACGTTCGATCGATATAGTGTCATCCCCTGACCCCTGAACGATGCCACTGCTAAATAGAAACCGCAAATATCTCGCGTTTTAAGTCTTTGTTTTTTCCGACGAGTAACAGAAAAGTACGGAGAATTTTTCTTTAGAAAAGAAATTCAGAAGCAACAATATACTTTAACGTACATTTTTTATCCAACGAAATATAATTAATTCAACGTCGAGAGTAAAGTCGGGAAAATACAGAAGGGCCGAAAAGTATTTCAGAGAAGATTGATAAATGCGAGGTGTCGATTGTCAAGTCTGCCGAAGAATGAATTATGTCAGCTGGCTACGAACGTTTTGAACATTGATTTATTCAAAAAAACAAGAGAACGAGTTATGCTAGAGACATGCAAAATAAAGGAATCATTTTAACCAAGAATTTTGAACGATTCGTAAAATACTGAAATATTCACATCATTTTGTTCTCCAACCAAATCTTCGTAAATCCTCGGTCTCCTTTGATCGACACAGGTACGCCATAAAGGCGAAACGCGTAAGGAGGATCCGACACCATGTTGGCGCGGCGTAAAATTTAATTCCGCGCCGGGCAAAACGAGCCCGGAACAGTACGGATTTCCGTTGACACTGTCAAGTTAAATATCGTTAAAAGACGAAGACGATCTCTCGCGTGCCGTTACAGGGGGATGGGGGTGAGACAGCGCGGACGTTTAATTAGTTAATAGCACCGGAAACGTAGAGATCCAGAAGTTATCGAGGCGAGTCCTTCTTTCGAGAGAGTGGCTCTACCTGCGCTGCTCTCCGTAGCCGCTGCGGAATCGCTTAAAAAGTAAATACTCGAATTAAAATACCCCGGTTGAACCGGTGTCGAAGCCGCGTGTATCGCGAGAATTCTCTCTATCTCTCTCTCTCGGTGTCGACGCTGCGGCACGAGAGAAAAAAAGGAGAACAACGTCAGAAGAGGATCCTCGAATCGCCGCGGAGGGAAAAGGCTAACACACGAAAGGCTGCTGAGAGAAAGAGGGAGGAAAGGGCTCGATGGCGAACGTGCAAGTAGCGCTAATTAAAGTAAGTGGCCGAACAGGCCTCTCCTTCCTCGAGAAGATATATATACATATAAATGTGTATATACATATATATATATAATACGAACGTTGGTTGGTTTGGTTTCTTTGAGAAGGAAAAAAACGAAGAAGAAAAAATAGCGTTAGAAGGGGTCTTGGGCGAGCGCGAACGGAAACGAGAGAGTGAAAGAACAGGCAGAGGCTGGAATATCCGTTTGGACGAACATGCGAGAGCGTGATGCTAAAACCAGAAGAGAGAGAGTTGAATGGTCTCGATGCTTGTTCAAGGTCTGAAACTTGGAGAAATAACGTCTACTGGAAGTTCGTTCGACTCTCTGTTTCGTAGTACGCCGTACGTTTTCCTCGATCAGAAACATCTCCACATTCGACGGAAGACTTGGTGATACCTTAGTCTCTGTATATACGTGCATACACACAGATGTCTGTGTATCACGAATGGGAGAGTGGTGTGTAGGTGTAGAGCGTGCCTCGGTGGAGGGATATTGATCATAACGCGGAATTGTTCCGAACAAGAAATTTGGAATTTGAAATTTC